TGGACCATGATATTCTTCTTTACAAACTTGAAATTTATGGAATCAAAAATTATAATTTTAAATGGTTTTGTTCCTATCTTTAAAATAGCAAACAATGCGCATCTTATGACAAAACTACACTAAATTAGAAAACATTACCAGCGGAGTTCCACAGGAATCTATTCTAGGGCCTTTGTTATAATAATAGTAAAACTACAACTTCAATCCAAACTTTTAAAAGTTTCTTAAAAACAGTTACTTGATTATGACGTATCTCAAATACTATTTTATTTTTAATTTTTATTTTGTTCTCTCTTATTTTTTATTTCTTTAACTTTTTTTTTTTGTGAAAAAGCGGTATTACACTTTATATCATTACTTATCTTTATATTTGTATTGTATATATATATATGTATTTGTGTGTATGTGTGTGTGTGTATATATATATATATATATATATATATATATATATATATATATATATATATATATATATATATATATATATATGATGGATAATTTTTTCTTTGTTTGATATGTAAATGATATAACGGGGCTGGATAATAAGACTTTTGTCTTCTGCCTGCTCCTGTCATATCTTAACTGAATATATTGTAAATAATTATTATAACGATGACGAAAATGTATGAAAAAAAAAAGCTCTTATTTTAAAATTTTTAAGTGAGCGAACTCTAAATTTGTATCTACTAATATTTTTATTAACAGTTAAGAGAAATTTATTTTCGCTAATACTTTGTTAAGTCGTAGACTTGTAACATGTTTACTAATTTTACTAAATTATTAAAATTTTTACTATCATATATCATATATATATATATATATATATATATATATATATATATATATATATATATATATATATATATATATATATATATATATATATATTATATATATATATATATATATGATGGATAATTTTTTCTTTGTTTGATATGTAAATGATATAACGGGGCTGGATAATAAGACTTTTGTCTTCTGCCTGCTCCTGTCATATCTTAACTGAATATATTGTAAATAATTTATTATAACGATGACGAAAATGTATGAAAAAAAAAAGCTCTTATTTTAAAATTTTTAAGTGAGCGAACTCTAAATTTGTATCTACTAATATTTTTATTAACAGTTAAGAGAAATTTATTTTCGCTAATACTTTGTTAAGTCGTAGACTTGTAACATGTTTACTAATTTTACTAAATCAAACTCACGCCTTCTTCCTTACATTGGT